GTAGCTGGGATTACAGGCACGCGCCACCATGCCCAGCTAATTTTTTGTAGTTTTTAGTAGAGACGGGGTTTCACCATGTTGACCAGGATGGTCTCGATCTCTTGACCTCGTGATCTACCCGCCTCGGCCTCCCAAAGTGCTGGGATTACAGGCTTGAGCCACCGCGCCCGGCCTGAGACTACAATTCTTTAAAAAAATTCCAGTGTTCACCTTTTCCCACCAATTGTAACCCTGGTCTTCTTGTCATTTATTTGAAAGCAGATCTGGCTGGGTGCTGTGGCTCACGCCTGTAATCCCAGCACTTTGAGAGGCCAAGGTGGGTGGATCACGAGGTCAGGAGATGAAGACTCTCCTGGTCAACATGGTGAAACCCGTTTCTACTAAAAATACAAAAATTAGTCAGGCATGGTGGCACACACCTGTAGTCCCAGCTACTTGGAGTCTGAGGCACAAGAATTTCTTGAACCCGGGAGGTGGAGGTTGCAGTGAGCTGAGATTGAGGCACTGCACTACAGCCTGGGTGACAGAGTGAAACCCTGCCTCAAAAAAAAAAGAAAAGAAAAGAAAAGAAAAAGACAGAAAGCAGATCAATTCTTGCTATAACTTCTGAAAAAGAACACAGTGCTCTGGCAGCAACGATGATGACATTCTTCCAAGGAGCAGGATAAGAAAGAGGCCAAACAGCTGCTGGAGGTGAATATTTTGGCATTAGGGAAGTGTAAAATGTGAAAATTCATTATCACAGAAAATCATACTTGAAAAGGAGTTAAGAAAAACTCACAATTTACAGCTACCTGTTTGTTTTAGTCTGTTTTTATACTTCTGTAAATATATTACCTGAGACTGGATAATTTATAAAGGAAAGAGATTTAATTGACTTACAGTTCCACATGACTGGAGAGGCCTCAGGAAACTTACCCATGGTGGAAGGTGAAGGGGAAGTAGGCACCTTCTTTACAAAGCAGCAGGAGAGAGTGAGAGAGAAGCAAAGGGGAAGAGTCCCTTATAAAACCATCAGATCTGTGAGAACTCGCTCACTATCATGAGAACAGCATGGGGAAAACCTCCCCCATGGTCGAATCACCTCCTACTAGATCTCTCCCTCAACACCTGGGGATTACAATTCAAGATGAGATTTGGGTGGGGATACAAAGCCTAACCATATAATTGTTTACAGTGTAAACAGTCACTTAAGTTAGCTATTAGCTATGGTTTCTTGCATACATTTTTACTACCTTCTCTACTATACTCCTTCTCTACAGAATTGCAGAAAGTGGAAGGCTGAAAACTATATTTCCCACTTTTCACCATCCATAAAAGTCAATACTAGATAAATTGTAAATCTAAGTGAAACAATAACAGTTTCTCAAGAAAAAAGAAGAATACTATTATGATTTGGAGCCCACAAAGATTTCTTAAACTGGAGACACACAAAATAAATGAACCATAAAGGAAAACATCTGATAAACTGAATTAATTCAAAATTACAAATGTCTTTATCAAAAGACATTGATAAAAGAGTGAACAAAAAAAGCCACAGAGTGCCAAAAGATATTCTCAATACATACACCCAACGAAGGACTCATATCCAGAATAAAGAATTACAAAGAACAAGAAAAGGCAGACAAACCCATAGAAAAATCACACAGCCATGTGTGTACTTATGCAACGATCTTGCATGTTCTTCACATGTACCCCCAAACCTAAAATGCAATAAAAAAAAAAAAATAAAAAAAAAATAAAAAAAAAAAAAAAAAAAAAAAAAAAAAAAAAAAAAAAGCGAAAAATAAAAAAAAAAAAAAAAAAAAGAAAAATCACACAAAATACATGAATAGGCATTTCACAGAACACAGAAGAGGGTACTCAAATGGCCAATAAACAATTTAAGAGGTGTTTAATTTACTTGATATCAGGAAAATGAAAACAACAATGAGATTCAATACACTGAATTAGTCTTTAAAAAGAATGGCTAAAATTTAAAAGATGAAAAAGATCAAGTTTTGATGAAGACGTGAAAAACTGTTGGGCAGTATCTACTCAAGACAAACCCCATGCGTCAGAGAAATTCCACTTTTATATATCCAACTGAAATGTGTGTGTGTGTGTGTGTGTTCACCAATGTTCATAGTGGCACTAGTTGCAATAATCTCAAACTGGAAGCAACCCAATGTCCATCTTTTTAGAATGCATAAATTGTGTTATATTCATACAATGGAATACTATACAGCAATGAAAATGAAGGTACTATTACCACACACAACACGAATGAATCTCACAAATATAATGTTGATATAAAAAGTCAGTAATAAAATAATACACACAGTATTATTCCATTTTGTCTAATGTTTACAAATAGGCCAAATTGGTCTAGCATATTAGAAACCAAGATTACAGTCAATTTGGGGGAGGATAATGCCTAGAAAAGATCATGAAGGGAGCTTCTGATATGGTAGTAGTTTCTGCCTTCCAATCTGGCTGCTAGCTATATGTAGGGGTGTTTACTTTATGAAAATTCATCAAGCTCTCAGATTATAATTTGTACATTTTTCTGTCTGTATGCTATACTTCAATAAAAATGGACTTACACTGAGCTGAAAACAAAACCGAATAACTATAATTCTAGGCTGAGCTGCTAATAGGATTTGTTATACAATTTAGATTGTGCCAATCAGATATAATGCTATGAAATTTGAAAGGTAAAATGAAGAGAGAGGCTATTTCCCCTGTCTATTAGTCTTCCTTCCCTCCCTCACTCCCTTCTTCCTTCCCTCCCTTCCCTCCTTCCTTCCCTCCCTTTTCTTTCCCTTCCTTCCTTTCTCTCTCTTTTTTCCTTCTTCCTTCCCTCCCGCTTTCTCTCTCTCTATTTATTTTCAAGAAAGAATTTTGCTCTATCCAGGCTGGAGTGCAGTGTGCAATCACAGCTCACTGTAGCTTAG